CCTTCCTCCTCCTCTCCTCCTCCTCCTCCTCCCTCCTCCTCCTCCTCCTCCTCCTCACCTCCTCCTCCTCATCCTCCTCCTTCCTCCTGCTCCACCTCCTCCTCCTCCTCCTCTCTCCACCTCCTCCTCCTCCTCCTCATCCTCCTCCTCCTCATCCTCCTCCTCCTCGTCCTCCTGCTCCTCCTCCTCCTGCTCCTCCTCCTCCTCCACCTCCTCCTCCTCCTCCCGGGGAGAGGGGGGGCTTCCAGGCAATGGGGGCCAGGCGCCCTGGTCACAGGGCAGGATCGGTCCGCATCGAATCGAGAATTCGGATCGAGTCTCGGATGGCACATCGCGGTGGGTGGTGGTCAGGCACCTGCGACGACTGGATGGCCTCGTGCATTGCAGCCCTATCTGCGCACGTCGCCTCCAGCCTGTGGGCACGGCGGCCCCTGGCGGAGATGCCGACTGACGTCCAGCAGCAAACGCGGAGCGTCTGCGGCATCCTCTGGTCCTCGACCTGGCATGGTCGTGACCTCATACGTCGAATCCGACAACTATGGCACCATGCTGGACGCGCCTCCCTCTCGTTGGACGGTGCACTCTCCATGCGCGCCAAGGCCGCCTGGCCTAGATCGCCATGGCGCGGCAGAGCTACGACGCCACCAACGGCGCCACGGCACTTCGGAGGCAGCAGGGGTCCCAGACATAAACCGTCCTGGTTGTTTCTACATGCGGACCCCGGAAGCCCAGACCCTCTCCCCGCGGCCCGCGTTTCATCCCGAGCCGGTTTTTGACGGTCCTGGGGCCCGGCGAGGGCCCCCGAAGGCCTGTAATTGGAGCACAACCTCTGTCTTGATCTTCGTCAGGACGCGAGCATCATCAGCATCATCACTGGAATCCTCATCATCATCATCATCATCATCATCATCATCATCATCAACATCATCATCATCATCATCATCATCATCATCATCATCATCATCATCATTATCATCCTCATCATCAGCAGCAGCATCAGCATCAGCATCAGCATCAGCATGCGCATCATCATCATCATCATCATCATCATCATCATCATCAACATCACCATCAGCATCATCATCATAATCATCCTCATCATCATCATCATCATCATCATCATCATAACCAGCATCATCATAATCACAATCAGCATCGCCATCGTCATCAGAATCATCATCACCCTCGTCCACATCATCGTCAATCCTCGGCATCCACATCATCATACTCAACTGAGCATCATCATCACCACCATCCTAATTCAGAACACCACCATCATCATCATAAGCAGCAGCCGAATCAGTATCGTAAACATAAGCATGAGCATCATCATCATCATCATCATCATCATCGGCAGCAGCATCTGCATATGCATAAGCATCACCAGCATCATCATCATCACCATCATCATCATCATCATCATCATCATCATCATCATCATCATCGTGATCACCAGCAGCAGCAGTCGAATCATCCTCACCGCCACCACCACATGCACCATCATCATCATCATCAGCATCATCATCATCACCATCAGCATCATCATTATCATCATCCTCATCATCATCATAATCAGCATCATCATAATCACAATCAGCATCGCCATCGTCATCAGAATCATCATCACCCCCGTCCACATCATCGTCAATCCTCGGCATCCACATCATCATACTCAACTGAGCATCATCATCACCACCATCCTAATTCAGAACACCACCATCATCATCATCATCATCATCATCATCATCATAAGCAGCAGCCGAATCAGTATCGTAAACATAAGCATGAGCATCATCATCATCGGCAGCAGCATCTGCATATGCATCAGCATCACCAGCATCATCATCAGCATCATCATCATCAGCATCATCATCATCATCATCATCATCATCATCATCATCATCATCATCATCATCGTGATCACCAGCAGCAGCAGTCGAATCATCCTCACCACCACCACCACATGCACCATCATCATCATAATTATCAGCATCATCACAAGAATCATCCTCATCATGAGCATCCTCATCATCATCAGCAGCATCAGCTTCAGCATCATCATCAACATCATCATCAGAATCATACGATTGTAAAACATCATCACCAGCTTCCACCTAAGTATCATTACCATCGTCCTCATGATCGGCATCAGCATCAGCATCATCACCAACGTCGTCGTCACCATTGGCATCAGCATAAGCATCACCATCACCTCATCTCCATTATAATCATCGCCGCCATAATCATGGCAACCAGCACAAGAAACATCATCAACATCATCACCATCACCTTCAACATAATGATCATCATGATCGTCATCATCCGCATCATCATCACCAATATCATTATTGCCATCAACATACGCATCATCAGCATAATCATAATCATCATCATGATCGTCATCATCCGCAACATCATCATCATCATCATCGTCATCATCATCATCATCATCATCACCATCAGCATCCTCGGCATCATTGCCATTAGCATAAACATCATCATCATCACCAAATACATTAGCATGATCGCCATCATCCGCATCATCATCACCACCATCATCATTGCCATCAGCATGACCAGAATCATCATCACCATGATCACCAGAATCATCATCATCATGACTGTCATCATGCGCGTCATCATGATCATCATCATCATCACCATCATCATTGCCATCAGCATCATCAGCATCAACATCATACCATCATCATAACCGGCATCATCCACATAATCATCACCACGGTCACCACTGCAGTCAGCACAGGCGTCATCATCATCTCCAGAATCATGATAATGATCGTCATGATCCGCATCACCATCATCATCATCGTCATCATCATCATCATCACCATCATCATCTCAATAATCATCGTCATCATCATCATCATCACCATCATCATAACCGGCATCATCCACATCATCATCACCATCGTCACCACTGCAGTCAGCACAGGCGTCGTCATCATCTCCAGAATCATGATAGTGATCGTCATCATCCGCATCACCATTATCATCATCATCATCATCATCATCATCATCGTCATCATCATCATCATCATCATCATCATGATCATCATCATCATCATCATCATCATCATCATCATCATCACCATCACCATCATCATTATTGCCATCACCATCAACATCATCATCATATCCATTATCGCCATAATGATGGCCATCATCCGCATCAGCGTCATCACCATCATCAGCATTGCCATCAGCAATAACATCATTATGAGCATCATGATGGCCATCATCCGCATAATCGCCATCATCATCATCATCCTCATAAATGCCATCAGCATACGCATCATCATTACCATTACCATAATCAGCATCATGATCGTCATCATCCGCATCATCAGCATCATCAGCATCACCATCATCATTGCCATCAGCATCAGCATCATCATCACCCCTATCATCTCAATGGTCTGCATCATCATCAGTATCGTCATCATCCGCATCATCATCATCATCATCACCATCATCATCATCACCACCATCAGTCCCATTACCATTACCATAAGCATAAGCATCATAACTATCCCAAGAATCATGATCATGCTTGCCATCATCCACATCAGTATCACCTCCATTATCATCATCATCATCATCAGCAGCATCATCATCATCATCATCACCACCACCACCACCACCACCACCACCATCATCATCATCATCATCATCATCATCATCATCATCAATCATCGACAGCATCATCATCACCATCACCATTGCTATCAGCATACGCAACATCATCACCATCATCATCAGCATCATCATGATCGTCATCATCCGCATCAGCATCCGCATCGTCATCATCACCATCATCATTACCATCAGCCTAGGCATCATCATTGTCATCATCATAATCACCTTCATAATCATCATCACCAACATCATCATCATCACCATGACCATCATTGCCATAACCATAAGCATCATCATCATCATCATCCCAAGAATCATCATCATGATCGTCATCGTCCGCATCATCATCATGACAATCAGCATCATTATCAACACCACCTTCAGTGTCATCAGCATAAACATCGTCAACATCATCAGAACGGTAATCATTAGCATGATTGTCATCATCCGCATCATCATTATCATCACCATCATCATCACTGTCACGACCACCATTGCCATCAGTATAAGCATCACCATCATCATCATCATCATCATCATCATCATCATCAGCATCGTGATCGTCGTCATGATCGCCATCATCCACATCATCATCAACATCACCATCATCATCATCATCATCATCATCATCAAAATAATCATCAATGCCATCAGCATAATCATCGTCATAATCAACATCATCATGTCCATTATCATCATCATGATCGTCATCGTCCGCATCATCATCATCATCATCATCATCATCATCAGCATCATCATCATCATCACCCCAGCCTCCTCCTCCTCCTCCTCCTCCTCCTCCTACTCATCATCATTATCATCATCATCCTCGTCCTCATCATCATCCTCGTCCTCATCCTCGATCGTTGTCCTGCGCCCCCGGGCCTCCTCGACTCCCTGGCCCCGCCCCTGCTCGCGCGCGGGGCCGAGCTCCAGCAGGTAGAGGTAGACGACCTCGGGAGACTCGACCCCCCGGGATTGCTCGTCCTCATCATCATCATCATCATCATCATCATCATCATCATCACCACCATCATCATCACCATCATCACCATCATCATCATCATAACCATCATCATCAGCATCCTCATCATCATCATCATCATCATCGTCATCATCATCATCATCATCATCATCATCATCATCATCAGCATCCTCATCCTCATCATCGTCGTCGTCATCGTCATCAGCAGCAGCAGCATCAGCAGCAGCATCGTCCTTCATCCTCATCCTGCTCATCCTCCTCCTCCTCCTCCGGGTCTGGGGCCTCGTCCTCAGCCCGACTGAGTTGGCTCGATCGCCCGCCACTTCCCGCCGCGAACCCGCGCGCAGGATCGGGCTTCCGGGGGAGGCGGCGATGTAGCCCGTTGCGAGGAAGAGCTTCACGCTGAGCACCTCTCGGTGGAACGCAGAAGGAAATACCAGTACTATGCGTCCTCCATGGAGGCGTGCGCCAAATCAGACCATTTTGCACAACCAGATGGTAAATAATATGTCGGCTCTCGGTGGAACGCAGAAGGACATATTAGTACTACGCGTCCTCCATGGAGGCGTGCGTCAAATCAGACCACATAGCACAACCAGATCGGTAAATAACAAGTCGGTACTCGAGCGGCGTGGCCAGAGAGCGCTCGCCACGGAGCTTACATCACAGAAGATTCCTGAGCGCGCGCGTGGCCCCTGCAGGGCCAACACGCACACACAGTACTAGCATGGTTGAGCGGTGCCAGTGCTCCACTACGGCAGATGCTCGCATCGCTGACAAACACTACACGTCGGTCGGAAGAAGTAGGTCGAATCATGAAGTAGGATGGCGGATATAGTGGATTGGGTCCAGGTCCTCCTAGAGAACAACAAAACACAGCAAAAGCATGTCGATTCTTGAAGTATGAAGGCGCTTGAAGTAGATCGGGATCTGGGAATCCAAAAATACCTACTTTCGACGACCGGCGTGTACGGTGAACGTTTGGCCGTGTTCGGCATCTGGGGGCCGCATAGCTGGGCCCCGGGGCCGAAAACACAAACATGCTCGCGACAGGAAGGAACGGCCCAGGGGAGAGGGTCGGAACTTCCTGGACGCCGCACTGGAAAAACATCACGGCATCGGACGTCTGGCACGGCTGGGCCAAAGGAACGGCGGGGCGCTTCAGGCCACGGCGAGCCTCGGCCGCGAGGCGAGCGGCCCAGCAGCCGCAGAGCCCCCCGCTGAGCCCGGAGCTGCCCGTCCGCGTCGCGGCAGCAGAGGGGGCGTGGCAGGAGCGGGGGCGCTCGCCACCTGCGGCCTTTTCGGGGCGGTGGCCGCGGGAACACGCCGGGCGGGGGGCCGGGCCCTTCCGGGGGCCCCACCTCTGGCCGAGATCACCGCGTCCCCCCAAACACGCCGACAGCACCACAAGAATAAGAATAGGAATAATAATAATACTAACAATACTACTAATAATAATAATATAAATAATAATAATAATAATAATAATAATAATAATAATAATAATAATAATAATAATAACAATAATAATAATCGTAATAATAATAAACAATAATAATAATAATAAGAATAATAATAAGAATAATAAAAATATAAATAAGAATATTGATAAAAACAAAAATCACATTAATAATAATACCAATACTTTTTTGTAATATATATATATAATGATAATAACCATCAGAAAATAATACATCAGAGATCTGGGGCGCACGTGTGCCGACCTGTCTGAACTTCTCGGGGCGCCCAGAGAGTCCGCAATGCCACCAGGCCACGGGAATCGAAAAGCGTGGAGGCAAGTCGTCTCCTCATACATGTGGTACGCCAACTGCTTCTTCAATTCTCTTACGCGTGTTCCACGTGCATTGCAGGACCTCTAGCGTGGTGTCGTTTTCTCCGACAGAGCCGGGCGCAATTCCGTACACACCGTGACCGACTGACTAGCATCAACAGATAACTCCGGGAACTCAGTGTGGGCCGCCCGCGGTTGCGGCTGCCCGCAACCACAACGGTAACCACACCTTAACCCTCAACTGGGCAACACGTTCGGGCCGCGGGAACTAAAGACCTCCTGGGTGCGGTCCGAGAAGATGTGGTCGGAAGATCGCGCCAAATCGCCGATGCACTGGCGCTAGTGATGCACCTTCGCCGTCGGCGTGGAGAAAACCGGGCCCCACATCGAACCGCATCGGCGATGCATCGGCGACGCGGCGCAATCCTCCAACCCCATCTATTCGGACCCCATCTGGGAGGCCCAAAAGAAACGCTCCCGCGACCGCAGCAGGGCACCTGGGCCGCGGGCGCCATCGGCCGCACCAGCAGCCAGGCGGCACACGTTTCGGGCCGCGGGCACCCGCAGCCGCAAAGGGGGCAGCATATTCGGCGCCACGGAGAAGGCGCGCCACCGCATCCGCAGCCGCAGCAAGGCAACACACTTTAGGTCGCGGGCGGGCGCAACCGCAACGGCAACCGCAACCACACAACACGTTCCGGGCCGAGGGCACCCGCAACCGCGACCGCAAGCGCCACCGCAACCAGGGAGCACATTCTGAGCCGCAGGCGCCCGCAGCCGCGATCGCAACACGACACGCAACCGCGCCACCGTGCGACGCATGCTGGGCCGCTGGCGCCCGCAGCACGACCCGCAACCGCAGGAGGGCAACCGACGTAGGCCGCGAGCACCCGCAGCCGCAAGCAGGGAGATCACTCTGGGCCGAGGGCCGGCTGCCACCGCACCCACAACCGGGCAACGGTGCCGCGGGCGCCCGCAACGGGGCCTGCAGACGCACCCGCAACCGACCAGGACATTTTGGGCCGCGGGCGCCCGCAGCCGCAGCTGCAGCAGCAGCCGAGGCAGGTCCCAAGAATATGCACCACCGAGGCCTCCACTCCCCCTCCCTCCCTCACCTTCCTCTTCCCCTCCGCTCTCCCGGGAGAGGGAGGGGGTGAGGGAGGTGGTGGTGGCGTATATTTCTGGCCCCCGCAACCGAGCAGCAGATACTTGAGCCGCTGGCGCCCGCAGCGGGACCCGCAACGGCAACCAGCCAACGCATTTTGGACCGCGGGCGCCCGCAGGCCCTCCCCGAAGCCGCAACCACCACCAGTGGGGCCGCCCCAACCGCCACCGTGCGACCCATGCTGGCCGCCAGCCTCTGCGGGCCCTCTCCGGCCACCCCCCTCCGCAACGCTAACCCGCAGGCGCAACGGGCAGCACGGGATCCAGGCGGCAGGACCCGAGAGCTGCCCCCGCACCCGCAGCCTCCGGCCGCGGGCGCCCGCCACCGCGCCCGCAGCCGCACACGGACAAAACACATCTTTGGCCGCGGGCACCCGACACCGCACCCGCAACCGTTCCTGGGCATCATCATGGTCACCACCATCGTCGACATCATCGTCATCGCCATCACCGCCATGGTCGTCCACATCCGCACCCCGAAACGCCACTCTCGCCATCACAAGCATTGCCATCACCGCCGTCATGTGCACCTTCGCCACCGCCATCATAAGTATGTCCACTGTGACTATGGCCCCTGCTGGCCGAAACAAGCGGCCCCCGGACGTGGCCCGAGGTGATCCGACGAGACACTGCAGCGGGGGAATCTCCATTACAAGATGCTGACTTTGCTTGCCAGGCGCAGGGGCTCTCCACAGGTTTTCGTCGCGGGTAGCTTTTGTTGACGGGCCTGAGGGTGGTAGGGGCCCCTGGAGGCCCAAATCACAGGGAAAAAGTTGCGTCTCGATGTTTCGTGGCGCTGCATGTCTGAGGACGAAGGCGACGACGTCGACGACAACGAAGCCCAAACCCGTGTTAACGCGCACACGTCTGGCCAAGCACAGAAATTCTGGCCCATCCCAAACGACTCGTAACACCTCCTCACCAAGAACAATATGGCTGGGCACGCTTGCTGATTCAAGAGGCATCGCGTCGTCGATGCAGGGCCCATCATGGCATCGAAACTTGCCCTTGCTATCAGGCCGCGTTCCTCCAGCACAAGCAACCGCACGCTCGCACGACTGGCCAAGCTTACCTTCGCCCGTGGGCTCTCACCGCATGCATGAGCAAAGATGCGCGTTCTGCGAAACATGAGCCACAATAAGAATATAGATTAATACCATGTTGGGTCAGGCCTTATTGAAAAACACAGCTTAACAATTTCGACACGCTCCGCATTCACGACCGGCCAAATGGCACCCTGGAAACGCGAAGCTGCCGAACCCCATTCGGTATCGAGGTGCTGAAGCTAAGAAGCATGCACAACGCGTGACACGTAGATGGCATCAGCACCAAACCTTTGGACTGTCTCCAACAAGTCAACAGCAGACGCGTTACAGATCGAATGTGCGCGGCAATCTGCGAGCCAGTGCCACACCTTAGCGACGAAAAGAAACCAGTCTTACGCGAGATGCCCTAGCGACCTTACGCGGTGGCTTACGCAGGCCGCCGGCGCGGCACGCCACATTGGAGACGAGGGCGCTTACGCGCAACCTTACGCGGGCAGCTTACGCGGGCAATGTCGGCGCAGACGACCCCATTTTCTGGCGCCGCTCACATGATCCTGGACGCTTTCAGGGGCAACCCTGTGAAAGATATCACACTCGAGCCCAACAGGTGCTGGCAGACTTGTTTCGTCGCGGAGCTGGCGCTCGCGCAGATCGGCAGGGCGGGCACCAGGGCTACCGTGCAGCAACGTCGGTGCACTGCAGGAAGAGAAGAGGGAGGACGAGCGGCGGCCACGAGAAAGAGCCTCGACACACTTTTTTACATCGCAGCGCGGCAGAGGCAGTCCGCACGCACCCTCGGGCAAGCTGGGTAACGGCATCGCTGCTTGTCCGGGACCTCGAGACACACACACACACACACATACCGAGTGGGCGGCAACGAGGCGGCAACTGGGCGGCAACGGGCGGCGACGCGACAAAATCTCGACACACACACACACACACACACACACACACACACATACACACCACGTGGGCGGCAGCGAGGCGGCAACTGGGCGGCAACGGGCGGCGGCGCGGCGAAACCTCGGCACCGAGGCGGCAACGAGGCGGCAACGGGCGGCGACGCGGCGAAACCTCGACACACACGCACACACACACACACACACCACGTGGGCGGCAACGACGCGGCACCGCGGCAGCCACGCGGCGAAGCCTCGACACGCCCGACCAATTCCCAAAGGACACGAGCGAGGAGGCCCCCGAAGTGCCAGCACTGTCCCCAGACCCCTGACATCGTGATCGTTTCACAACGTCGACCCCCAGAGGTCTCGACCCCTTCCCCGGGACCGGTTTCTCGTCCCGAGTCGTTTTCGGATGGTCCCGAAGCCTGGTGAGGGCTACCGGGAGGCCGAAAAT